TCAGCTTACTGCGTTCGTATTGGCTGCTTCCGTACATGTATTAAAGCTAGACAGGTAAATTGATCCAATTGTGATTAAACTCACGGTGCACAGTGAGCTTCGTAGCTCAATGGTAGAGCTTTGGCTCCGCAAAAGCTTTCCCTGCTTTGTGAGTTCCACTCCCTTCGAGGCCGCGAATTTTTCACAATTAGGTCAATCGAATTATTGAAAGCTGCCAAACCCCTAAAATTGATAGTTCCTGGTGAGTTCAGCGCACGATTCGGTTCAGGTCATACTACCCTGGTAGTAGTGATAGATCTACAAGGAATTAGCAGCAGCAACGTCACTGGACTTATCTTGCAGGTCTGCACCGAACACAAGCTCTTCTTCAACGCTTTTTCGCCTTCCGTATCGGTAGAAAACAGCGTGGACACGCTCTCGCTCCTGTGTATGGAACTTCTGGACTACCACGCCTGCAGGTATGATAATCGTGATGGGTAAATAAGGAACGTAATGTATGATGCTGAGTGCTAGACAGGCAATCCCCCTGTCATTGCGAGGATGAGGCTGCAAGAGCAATCAGATAAACAACCGCAAGGTAACTATAAGCTAGCTCCTTCCGTCTCTCATCTCTGCAAAGACTCATCTCAGTCCCCGCTCATTATGACCAGGCGATATACTTCCAATAGCGGCGTGAACGTAGCACGGCCACAAAGAACATTCCCGCACACCCGCATCATGATTTCAGGCACCCCCATTGCCAGTGCAACCACAACTGGTACCGCTAATATAGGCGGAGTCTCAACCTCTCCAAATAGTCGGGCAGCTGTGAGTCCGCTGACGTACGCCTGTTGCGTCCACTTGCACCCACATTCCATCCGTAAATTCAGTCACCTTCTATCATTCGTATTTGCGCACTCCCTTGAGTGTAATCACCGATTCAATTGGGATGGCACAGAGGTGATCGCCGCGGCTAATACGAGGCAAGCGAGAGAATTCATCGAAGCTTGGCACTCGAGCCTGGCTAGTACTAACAGACACCTAAAGTTCAGCGATGATAACCATGTCAGCTTAACTAGACACCTAAAGCTTCATTCAAACTGTACCGGCTTTCGCGCATGGTCGACTACCCTGCGCCCAGCCTGAAATAACAGTAGGCTGTCCGTGCTCGGTCAAGTAGAATTTAACTGACGCTGAACCCCCCCCCTCCCCCGAACACGTGGCCAATAATCCAAACGTTAACACCTCCCTCCTCTCACTAGCACAACCTATCGCCGCAAGAGTCACGTCACCGTAACTCTCCCGCCCAATCCCACCCCGTTCGTTGTAACCTCTGCCCCCAAAACCTCTGATGCGACATTCTCAGCCCTCACTTTTCATTTATTCTGACGACGAACAAGTGGTATTTGTTCGAAAATTCACGAAAATTCTGAAGATCTTCGTTTTTTCAGTAAGTAAATCGTCATGATATAGTCTACTGGAAGCGGAGCTGATCATACTAATATTTTTGCTGGAATTTGAGCCACCAACGGTTCCTTGAAGTTTATCTTTATGCCGTACATTGCCTTGACCAAACATGTATACGAAGAATCAATAGGTCCTCCTTGTTTCACATTTAACTCTACCGAACAGAATAACTTGAGAGTTAAGGTAGACATGATCAGGATGTAACCAAACCGATAGCAACCAAATAGGAAGAAAAAAACATACGGGACTCAGGGATAAGATGATGTGCAAATTGGCAAAAGCCCTCTCTACAAAGTAGTTCCATACAGCTTCCTTGGTTGCCTCCGGACCTAATTCAGCGTTTCCAGTGCGGAGGTCAGCTATAATAGCTTCTTTCTCATCATCCGGAAACAACGCGGGCACAAGGCCTGAAGTGAGCATGTTGTTGAGTAGCTCGAAGAATCCTAAAATAAGTCCAGAGTACAGTGTACAAAAAGAGTCACTGCGCCTTTGTTGCAAAATTTCTTCTAAAAACCAAATTGCCTGAATAATTCTGCCTACTATGTTTGAAGTACTGACATACTTTTATTTAAAATTATACGCGGGAAGGTTGTTGTTTCTGCTATTATCGTAAGCAGTAAATACATTTCTAAATCTAATGACACATTAGCGCAAGATGCGGAGTGCATGCGGGCGAAGCAAAGAGAACAATGTCAAATTTTTTAAACTATTAACTGAACTGCACAAGCTTATTCTACGCACGCGGGCTTACTGAATAATAAGCTTCTTTTTTTTCGAAGCAGATACATTGAAGGCCAGATGCTTGACATTGAAATGCTAAACTTAAATAACCGGAGAGAAAAACAAGCGGTATCAAGACAAAATCTATCAGTATGTGTAGCGGTGATAGCGATCTACTCGGTGAGGCCACCGAAGTAGACTGATGGTGGATCATACGGGGACTATGTATGCCTATGCTATTCGCTAGACTGCGGTTTTACCTTTGACCTAAGGTTGCATGGTACCGGTGCGTGGCGAACTGTGGACGAAGGCTTTACGCCTGACCGTCACTGGGTCCAAAAACATCTGTAGTCGGCTTTAATCAAACTGACTGAAAGAAGAGACGGGAAAACCTATCCACACCAAATTCGGTCTGACTTTCCTGACTACAGTAAAGCAACGTAAATTTGGCTACTGGAACGAGGTAAAGTTAGTGGCTTGGAACACAACCAACAGGTGGCATAATTCAGTCTAAATGCAGTCTTACGGTCATATGCAATATCTCTTGTCTACTATAAATTTATGAAAACTGTCTTTACTGGAGGTTGGTACCCCTTCGCCGAAGAGTGGTATATGCGTTAATGGACAAGATGTCTACGCAACGCGCTCGGGAGAGTATTAATAATTGTCGTTCACAAGTAATGACTGTGGAATTGAGAAAAGCGGTACTAGTCCCTGATTCGCAAGGGGCCATCATCAGTAAAAGGATAACCAATAGTCGAAAAACCTTCCTTGGCAGCTGAATGTTGTCACCAGTTAACCAGTTAACCAGATACGTGAGCTCCAGAACTTTGTAGTTTTTATTCCCTTTGGCCGTTAAGAGTTCAGAGTACACAATTCATAGCAGAGTAGAAGAAACTCTATTTCTTTGCTTCCTATTGTACCTCCCCTTCAGGCGTGGATTGTGTTCTTTTAATTAAGAGATTCTTATATATAGCACCGCATACATACAGAAATCTGCTTTTGGCTTATACGCGCCGCTTGGACTAGCAACTAAGCCAACAGTATGAATTAAAGTAACCGAGGCTAGAAAGGCCCAGGCTACACTGAGAAAGTTTTCAAGTCTGAAAAGCCAAAAAGAAACTTCCGGTTTGCATGTAAGCACTAAGTCAACAAAAGTAAAACATTGTCAGGACGCTTCGACATATCAATTTGTGAGGAGTCACATTAGAAATTGATAAGCTCGACAATTTAACCCTTCGAGCGATATCGCCACTATGTCTCCCTGTCGCCAAACAAAGGTATGAAAGGGCGCATACCTTCGTTGACAGCATGATCATCCGAGAAGAAGAAGACTGTAGGTTTTTTCCGCTGTCCTAATTGTACATAGAGAGTCTTTAGGTCTTCACGAAAATCCTTCTCCGAATAACCACGATACAAAGTGACCTGGAAGAACTCGTAGCCGGCCGTAAAGGTGGCCAACTGGATAAGGCTGGTCTTGCCAGAGCCACCAACGCCCGCTGCCATTGCGTGACCCCGGTCCATCCGGATGATGCGTTGTAAACGACTCAGGTGATCCAGGGCATCATCAAAAAGTACAAGATTCATCTTCCGTTCACGCTCATTAAATGTTTCCATAATCTGATAGAGGAGAGAATAGAAAGTATACAGTGGATTCCAAAACCATAAGCAATAAAAAGTATAGGCTTTCTTCGACCAGCCCTTGAAATACTGTAGCAGTATTGGTGGCATTTAATTAATCTAACCCCATCCAATAGAACTAGGCGAATAAGTGCTTTTTAGACTTTTAATGCAATTTTTACGAAGAGCTGAAAGAATTGAAGCCTTCCTAGTTTAAAATGTTGGAAATTTACATAAGCGACGTAGTTGCCAATATCTTCTGATTCAAGAAAGGCCTTAATGTCTTAGCTTAGACTTATATAAACAAAGTACTCATGGGCGGTTACAGTTAAAGATGTATAGAGGGTGTTCCAAAAAAATGTATACACATTTTGAATAACTGTAAACTTATTGTTTATTATAATTTCATTGCCGCAAAAATGTAACAATATTTACAAGTATTCTTTTATTGTTTTCTTCAGTGCAAGGTCTCAAACGGACGTCCACTGTGATCCAGAAATTGTTCTAAATACCACTCGTCATACTGCGCTTTTCACTCTAGATCATCGTCATTAAGAACGTGGACACATCTTGGGTTATAACTTTTCCGATGGCAGCTTTGCATAATGCGAGAACATGCAATTAAAACATACTTTTAACTTTTTACATATTTTTAAATTTTTGAAATAATAAAATTATTACAAACACCAAGTTTACAATTAGCTAAAATGTGTATACATTTTTTGGGACAGCCTGTAGTAGTTCGGAAGTTTTGTCAACGAAAAGTAGAGGTAGGATGAGCCGTTTTTGCTAATTCGCCGTTATTTTTATCAAACCGCCGTTTGTTACCAAATAAAAATTAATTTTAAATAAAAGTGAGCCTAAATTAAGGTTTACTTGTGAAATTTTCAACTTGTTTTGGGTTTAAGTCCCAGACCTCTTCAGCATAACACTGGTATCGATAGCCACAACTTTACTGGAAATGGCTATTCTAGTCCAATTTGTCTTTGTCGGTAATAAGTTTCGATAGAAGAAAGGGATAGGAAGGCAGTAATGCTAAAGATTCATATTTTCCGAAGTTTCATTGCAGACGTGTCCTATTTACTTATTTGTCACTAAAGGACTGCAAAAGTTGGCAGTATTTAAAACAAACTCCAGACTCCCGTAGATTATAGAACTATTGGGAGAAAGATAAAAGGACATTGTGTTCTTAGCGGGAGGTCTTTGTTCTCCAAAAAACGGGCGAATAAACTAGAGTGATATGGCAGGAAATTCTCAGAGGCAGACAATTGCTACATGAGAAGAAGAAGACTCGATCGCTAGGACAATATGTTTATTCGCCTGACGTTTCGATATCCGTCAATTGCTACTCAATTGCTACATATTAAAATAGCTGAAATTTAAAGTACACAAGCAATGCTCGACAGCTTGAGGACTCAGCAAAAATCAACGTTGAGAACAAGAAACAAAACAAGGAAATAAAGCCCTTTTCTGTAAGATTGAAAGCAAAAGGCATTCAGCCAGTAAAAATAACGTTTTCGGCTGTTGGATGGCAGTTCGGTTGAGGCTGCCTCCACCACCAGTAACGTCATGGTTTAAATTGCATGACAATTATTTTTTTCTTAATCACACGCTTACCTCGGTAAATATTGTTCGAACAGTGTCGTAGTCCGGGATCTCTTCGTATGAACGGACCTCCGCTTCTTCCAGCGCCAGACGGTAGTCTCCAAAGATAAGCGGCTCTGAGTTTATGTGCTCACTGTCTTCCGGAAAGTTTTCTGTAATTTGTTCTTCAACTTTGGCCTGAGGGGATAATAGAATAGCATTATCTCTTCGCTTTTCACCAAGGCGTCCAAACGTGAAAAAGTGATACAGAAGTGAAAAGGTGAGTGGCGAAGAGCTGTTATGCAAGTCGATTTAAAGGTTCAGCAAGTTCGCAAACACAGGTTACGGACAACCCACACATGTATGTAGTTCGCGGGAATCAGCATTGCGGTCCGTCAATAGATAATAATTGGACTGTACATCTTTCGGAGGCAGTGCGGAAGCCGACGACAACAAGCATTTAGCGGACGTTCCGCATTATATCAAAATGATACTGCTGCACTAGAAAGCCCTTCACCGCCCTTCAGGCCACCCTCGGATATCATCAGACGTAGGAGAAGTTGACTTGAATGAATAGCGGTGCAGACTTAGATGTGTTTCATAGGGTGTTACAGCGACCGCATTTTGACAGGAATAGTCAGTAAGCCTACAGGGAAGTTCCTTAAAAACTTCCACGTCAATCAGCATCTTAGTGAGAACGACATCTCACACAGGAAACAGAGTTAAGAGCACTGTAAAAATACATAAGGAAAGCTTGAATGTGGGCTAAATGCAGAACGGTTTCTAAAAAATGAAATAAATTCTATGGAATTGCAGTACAGCGATGCTTCTAAAATTCCAAGATGGACTTTGATTTGGCGGTCTACCTCTACTACCTGTACTAGGTCCAAAGGCGGAGTAAGGTCAACAATATACCATACTGCATACTACGATTATCGTACCTATTTCGTCCTTATAATACTGTCATTTTCTGTATCGTGTGACTAGCAAATTCATTGCGGCTTACCGCTTTGAAGATGTCTAATAAAACTTGTGGGCTCGCGGTTTGGGTCCAGTCTATGTGTGAGGGCTTGTCAATAGTAGGTGTCCGTCGTGCATGTTAAAGTGTCCTTCTCACCTCGTTTACAAAGAAAATATATCAAAGTTGCATTCCAGGCGAATTCCAGTAACGTTTTCCATTGATATGGGAAAATAAAACTGCTAAGGGTGTCCAGCTTCGCAGTCGCGAGCAAACAGAAGATGGTCTACGATCATGTGTGGCGCCTGCCTCGACTCGCTGATGAATGAAGTTTATATGGGTTGGTCATCATTGAAGGCAAAAAAATGTGATGCACTCATACGAACCGGGGTGATGGTGTGTAAAAAGATCCTTCGACGCACGGATTCTCACAAACACAGTTGATGCAATCGAACGCGATCTAGGCAACCCGATGGCAGGCGTTTAATCTATATTCTTTGGGTAAATAAACGCTCCTGTTTATGCAGGTGACTTGCGGCTGAAACATAATCTGAACAATTTGTCTGGAAGTTCCATTCTCATCCATCGGTCGCTGCCGTAAAAGCCAAAATCTCCTCAGATGCTTTACGAGTTAACATGTTGTTGGCAAGAAATATTCAGCCTAAGCGTATCTATATCGTGATCTCGTCCGTAAGTTACACGTTTTGTGATGTTATAATGACGTCTCGGTTGAACAGAGATAATCATCAGCATCTCATCGCGGACTCATTTAATTGTAGGCGACACCCACACAAACACACGAGGTGGTCATGAGCAAGGCAAACATAGTGCAAGTAATTTTTAAGCCTCGTATGCTTGTGTACTCACACCAGACTCACGAAAGATGATGACGACGATAAGGTCGGCAGCGACTGCGGCGCTGTGTACAATGATAAGGTTCTGTCAGAATCTTACTTATTCAATGTAGTGACTACTGCAAAGGTTTGCCTCAAGTTGTGTCATCCTGTCAGGATTACCTAGTAGTCCGGTCTACATCAGCGTATTAAACAACGAAGATAATGGCCACAAAAGGGACAGCGGAGAATAGAAAAGCTCCTTTAACCAGCCGTGATAACGCAGTCGAAGTACTTATGAAGGGTAATCAAAGGAATTATACAGAAGTTGACCTTTTTCATCAAATCGAGTATAATAAATTATATCGGAAACCCTGCTTTGTATCTGTTCTTTCATCGTGAGATCATGTTGCAGAGGTCTATAAGGCAACCAACTGTGAGTACATGAGTCGTTATTTGCGTCAGCTGAATTCAATATCTCTATGCGTTAGACTTGAAGTAAACTGCCTCTCATAACAGATACTAAAGCGATCAAAACCCCCTTCGTGCTGGAAATCACTACATTTCGAGAGTCATTGCGCTGTTTTAATTTAAATTTTATTCAATCACATAGAGTTAGTCGAAAGGTGACAGCCGCTGGATTTTTATCCGAATTACTTATCAGAACTGAGAGGAAGTATCTTGGCAGGGATGTTCAGTTACTGCTCTGAACAGAGCGAACTGGTTCTTGACCGCTGGCATCTTCAAGCCATGTATTTATGTGAAGATGCACTGATAAATTTTACCAAGAAACGGTGGATAACGTAAGCGCAGAATCTAATCAGGAGTCGCTACTCGCAAGTAACAGGCAATATTGCGTAGGAATGAAATTAAGAAGTTGACGTTATTTAATGGACAAGGGCGAAATACAAAGACTCTGCCCCTATCCTTCTTGCCTAGTCGAAACATTCTAGAGCTCGGTGCAGTGCGCTTCATCTGAACGATTCGGCAGTAGTAAGAATATGTGTGTGTTGGGCGAAAGGTATAATAAGTGAATCCACACAGTTTTTAAATTACCTTCAGTAACTCCTTATCCTCCTCCGTGATGAGACGGTCGGAAAAGACACGAAGTGTCTCGTGCTTCCAAAGTCGGACGACTTGGTCAACCGCCGTGAAATGTGTCACCGTCATCTGACACAGACCACAGTACAATCGACTCAAATCTCGCAGGTTATAAATGTAGTGGAACTTGATAGGCGTTGGGGGCAGTTTTTGCAGTGCAAACCTAGAAAGTAGACGACAAATACTTGAGCGTTTTAATAAAACAAATATATGAAAATTCTCAATTTCTCGTGATGAGTTCAGATCGATAAATCAGAACATAGGAGGAATAGCTTAGCTTCAAGACTGAACAACCGAGCAGAGGTCTCCCACAAATAATGTCTATCTGTTTTTTTCACTCTCACTTCTATAAACGTGCTCTATTCAAAGTCACGACATCGGGTTTATCATCCTTCTGTACCAAAACTTTTCTAATAAATTTACTTCGATTACGTGATCAACTTGTGGAACTAGCCCATAGCAAAAGACTTACCTTTGGGATACGTTAGCGATTAACCTAGCAGATTGCCGAATGAGAAGATCATAAGTTTAAACATACGCCTTCAAGATCAGTTTCTACTGCCCAGCGGTCGGTACTTTATCGCAGTTTCCTTTTCGCTTAAGATGTTTTCATTGTTAAGGTGACCATGAAAAATGCCTTTTAAGGGCTGTTCTCAGTTCACTATATTTGCCAAATATTGTTAACTATTGTTTTAAATGACTGCCCGCCGTGAATCAGATGTGACTTAATATGCTTAACATACTACTCATTTCTTGTTTTCGTATATTTAATCATACGCCGCTGTGCTTACAAACTTTGCATTTAGTTTTACCACAGAACTAAGTTTGTAATGACGGGACCCCTGTACCTTACATATACAGATATAATGATTACCGGCTACCGAGAATTCCATCAGAAAAATGATGGAAAGTAGCGAGGACAAAAGGAGTAGTCCGCTAGTTCCTATTGAACTCCCCACTTGGTCTAAGCGGGTTTTCTCTCAGAAATTAACTCGCCATCAAATAATCACATTTATCAGTCCAAACAATCCACAGCTGGCAAAAAATGGTCTCATCTTCTTGGCATAAGAACTAAACGACTACATCCCAGACAGTTACAAATACTTAGACAATTTCAGAGGAATACATGTAGGACATTAAGTAAATATTGCTATGGGTCAAAAGGTTACTATGATTAATCCTCCTACCAGGGCCTTGCTAAAGTTTAACCTGCAAGTATACAATTTTTTGTCATTCAACTTTGTGCTTAACTAACCTGTAGACACTAAGGGTCATTTGAGTAATGACAGGAACGATCTGATTGACAGACGGATCAAAGCTTTGCGTAAAACCTGAGAGGATAGAATTGAATATCTGGGCCATCGTCTCTTCGCCAGGCCTAACAACATTGTAAATAGAAAAGAGGGAGATGAAGCGTGGGTTGACTTCGTGTCTTCCACCACCAGGATTGCCCATGGCTGCAAGATAGTCGATGTCAAGGAGCTTCCTCCAGTTCAGTTCTTTGCCTCGGTCGTAGAGGCCGTTCTGGCTGAGCAGGAGCTGCAGCAAGGCTATTGGCTGCTGAGTCCCGTACAAGTCTGGCTCGGGCATGTTCATGTCGTCTATGAAGACAAGTAGACGCCTTCCGGAGGCGGGACCATAGACACCCTTGCCCCGCCTTTCCAAATGTGCCTCCAAATTGCGCACAACGTCCAAAGAGGAAGTTCGCGAAGAGAAATCCACCATATGCGTCAGCTAAAAGGAGAAGGACGCACCGAGACGTCTTTGTTTAGTTAACATATTCCAGTTCAAACATTTCCACTGAATCAACTAAAGGCCGCCATTTCAGCAGTAGATAGAAGCGGGCAGATCGTGTTGGTGTGGATAAAGGGTCCATGTGAAAATAGTTTCGCTATAGTCTTCTAGAGACTGATAAATCGAGTGTACCGTCGCAAAGGGCAAGAGAGAGGGATCAAGCGGACGAAGAGGGGGCATAGCACCAGAATTGGCTACGACCTTGCTATGAACATACGAAGGATGTTGGGCTTTTTTCTGCCGAAGCGAATAATAACTATAATGTATCCATCCTTAGCGTTTGCTTATATCAGTTTTCCACTCCGTATTAAGCAGTTAAATTATAATTTTTTGTCAGTAGGTGTTGCAAAAGTATAAGCAAGGTTTTGAATCGCAGCTTTGTTATTTTTCAAGGCAAGAAAGTGGAATACTGGCGGGCTTGTACTAACACTAGTATATAAATTTACGAAACCTTATCCCTAGGCCGAAACTTGGTCGTTACCCTTAGAATACCCTAACTCCAACCCTAACAATAAACCTGACTTGATAAGACAAAGAAATCAAACGCATGATTGTGCAAGTGGTCATGCGCAAAGATACAGGAAGGGCAGATAGGCCGGTATCCTAGCCGTTAATTAAACCTTAACTCTAACGCTAGGTTTAAGCCGAATCTTTATATTAACCCTACACTAGCACTAATTTCCCGCAGAAAGCGAAATCTAATAAAGAAAATCGTCCAATTTCTTGTTAACGCAAACATGTACGTAAACCTCCGCTCCTATCCCTCAACCCCAGAATCAAATTCCATTCCGGAGTCCGGTGGAAGAAACTGACCGCTAAAACAGACTACACCGTTCCCTTTTGCCACAACTTTTTTGTTTTATCATAAACAGCAACACGCCTACCTAAATTAATTCAGTAGTAGTGCCAACAAGAATGTTCATAAACGGCCGCGTTTTCGATCCTTGCTAAATAGCCTTCTGATGGGTATCTTACATCCTCATAAAGTTTTCGCCTAAACAGTAATTTTCGGCGGGCTTAAAAAGCACTGGATGCAACCCGCTTGGCATTGCGCTAGACATCGAAATCTTACCGGCTTTGTTTTTGCGGAGCCTATGAATGACAGAGGAAAATTACCCACCCACCCCGTGAGGTGCGACTGGATATTCTGCGTCTTTTCCGTTTTGTCTTAGCGCTTCAAGTGTTAAGTTCATGCAGACTGTTGCATAGCCACATTCGACGAATGATACCCAACCAAGGATGTGTAGTTTGAGCGGGGATCCATTAACAATAAAATTCAACTTTCTATCCAGTAGCCGGAATAAGGCAGTTAAGGACTCTTTCGTGGGACGGCATATCCCTGATCTCAGCAGACAGAGGGCACACTCAGTGGATAGGGCGATGAAATATCTGACCCATCGACCTGCTCGATTGTAGTTGAAACCTTGAGTGCACTAGCACGTGGCGGCATGTGCCCGATGTTGTCTGCAACGCTTTTCAACCAGATGTCTGTGAAACCTTACATTCAGTGGGGATTTTAAGATTATTAATCACAAGTGCATATCGATTAAATAATCATACTACGTAAATTGGGTAAATTCGGACTTGCATAGCGCTCCTTGTTGATATTGTGAAGAAAACTGTGTACCGCCGCCGTTTTCGAAGTGCCCGTCTGACCGACCAGACAGATGGGCCGAGATGAAACCAGGGACTGTTGAAGGAGCCAGTTTAGGCGGACGGTCTCCTTTGTGGGCACAAGAATGTCACTGAACCGTCTGTTCTCATCATAGACGTAGGTCTGCACGAGATTATCCCACGGTACCCAACAGGCCTTTTCCCCGTCAAAGTGGTAGTCCGAGAGACGGGGCTGGCCGCAGGGCAGAAGGCCGACGGGCAACTCATTCGTCGCGGGCTCCTCCGAGTCGGAGGGCGGCAGAGCGCTGAGGCGACGCAGAAATTCATCAAACT